GTTTGGGGATGAAATTGAATATCGATGGTTCCTATGTGTATCCTGACATGTAAAGGGTCAAAAATTCTGAGAACGATGCCCCGGGGACCAGCCAAAGGGTCCCCAAAGAAGACCCAAACATGGGACAGAAAAGTTGCCGCGCCAGCCAGAATATGGTGGTGGTTGTGCGTCGCGTAGCTAACACGCAGTGGGCAAATATTATTACCCCGCGATACGGGGATGTCACAAACCATTATGTATCAAAATTTTCAAGAAACGATATTTGAAAGTTCCTCCGCGACGCAGTTAACTCTCAGATTTAGCCGCGTTATTTTTTAAGTCAAATTTGAATTGATTAAATTGTCCTAAAAGTGCAGGGGTATTTTGGGTATTTTGGGGATTAATTATTGACAGTTATAGAGTCTTTATATATCCTTAAACTCACCAATCAAATATAAACCCTCAACTCAAAACAAAACCTCTTCATTCTTCTCTCCAAAACCTCCATTGTTGAAGCTTGGAAGCTCCAAGGAAGAAGATAGATTTCTCAAGTTTTTCTCGATCAATATTGTGGGATTTTCATCACAATTAAGGTATGGTATTTCATCCTTGAAATATTTTTATTTAAGGAGTAAATTTGAATGATTTTTAAAGATGATCAAACCATGAAGTCTCCAATTTTGTAATCTAGCCAAGGGTTCTGGCATAAAACGTTTTGAATCATTCTATTATGATTGAATTGATGTCAATTTGATGACTTTAACCTAAAAACTCTATGAACACATGAAAACCATGCAATCCAAGGTTTGACTATTTTATGGGTGAAGTGATCACGTCACTATACTATTGAATTCTTATGTAGTTTGAGTAGGATTATATGCTAGAATCATGTTAAAATTGTTAGTATGCTGACATAAATTCATAAATCTATATTGAATTACCTTTGATTCATTGTCAATTGTTAGTGTTGAATTGAATTAGTGATCATGGTCATGGGTAAGGGCCTTTGGGCATTGTGTTGGATAATTTAGCTATGATTAAGGTGTTGAAAATGGATTAGTGGTATGTTCCCCGAATTCTCTGTATATTATGCAATGTAGGTCTTGAATTATGTTGTGATTGGTATGATCCACTTTTGGTGGCGGTGTTATGTGCTTTACTTGTGAATTATGTGGCCTAGTCGGCGTTACTTTATGTATTTGATGAACATAGCCTTGTCGGCAATTACTTGATATATTTTGATGGTTTGTGTAGTTGACTTGGTTGTGCCTATGTGTTTCTTTATGTGATATGATATATGTGATAAAGTGAAGTAATGATGTGTCTTGTTTTGGTGGACTTGTGTCCCTTACTTGATACCTATTGAATGTAAATGTGAGATACTTGGCTTAGTATGCTAAAGCTCCTTAGTCTTGAATATGTAATGGGCATGTGGCCTTGAACATAGTGAGAATGTCAAGTTATGTGGAACCTTCAACCTAGTTGAGAGTTATGATATCCTTGAAGTTAAAAGTCGTAGTGGTATCTTTCTTGTGTGAATGGTGGACTTAAGGTTGGTTGGCTGGAACGATATGAAATTATCCTGAGGAAAGTCATTGAGCCATCCTCTTAGACATTGTAGCTAGCCTTAGTGGACCCTCTTTTGTAAGGTGAAAGGTGATCATTATGAACTAGATATGGAACCTCTTCATGTGATCCTTTATGTGAAATATTCTATGAAAACAAAGGCTAGCACCGAGTGAGTAATTTATGGGAAGTTGCTCTATATAATATGACACTACATGGGATGTGTCCTAGTTCTACCATGTGCAAGTAGAACACCCTCCATCGGAGTAGATTTATGACTCCGAATTCCATGGGTAGCTAGTATAGTCTACATCGGTTATTGCCTATTCTTATCATATGGGATACCTATTAGTATTGCAGAAGTTGTATGATATTTAGGTAGTGGTATGGGACGCTAGTTAGGCTTTAAAAATATTAGTAAGTAAGTCCCTAGGTCTTCTCCGAACCATTACTTGAATGTCCTTATATGTTGAATGTCTCTTAAGCGAATTAATGAAGATGGTAACTTAAGTTAGAGATTATATAAAAGAATAAGTTCTTATCTAGAGTATTTTAAAAGTTGCCTATTTAAGGTGTGAAGGGGGCAAGAAGGATGGTCTCTTCATGTCTTACCTAGAAAATCTTAAGGATAACGCTAGATCGGAAGGTTGGTTAATGAAGTGAGGGTGATCTTATCTTATATTACATATATATATATATATATATATATATATATATATATATATATATATACATACATATACATATACATATATATATATATATACATATACATATATACATATACATATACATATACATATACATATACATATACATATACATATACATATATATATATATATACATATACATATACATATATATATATACATATACATATATATATATACATATACATATATATATATATATATATATATATATATATATATATATATATATATATATATATATATATATATATATTCAAATGCATGTTCCAATAACTAGTAATAATTGAAAATAAGTGGGAGTTTCTTTGGACAATCAAGGTAGTTTCGTAACTTTAATCATAAAATTTGTAGATGCTCTTTTATTTAGTGAGCCACGCAGGCGCAATTGCAATTTCCATATTTTCAATGCATATGTATCTTGGATGCTACTATTTTCCTAGTTGAAGTCGTTTTGGGTTGCTGTTTGTTTCAACATCCATAAATCCTCAGATTTTTCTATCTGCGTATTACATTTATACTCTATGAAAAATACCTGCAGAAATTTTTTTAGGTTTCTTCTATCAATCCATTGTTGGGTGAGTCGCCTCCCCCCCCCCCCCCAAATATATATCTGTCCTCTCATTTGGTGATCATTTCTTTTCCATATGTGTTTGTTATTCTAATTTTGTAATTTTTGAGTCTCCTTTTATACAATTATTGGAAAAAATGAATTCCGCTCCACACGTTTCCAAATTTGTAAATAAATAAATAAACCCAGAATCTGAAATAGAGAAAATGACATAAATAGTTCCTTAACTATAGGAGTAGGTTTAAAATGGTCCCTTAAATATATACTTAACATATATAGTCCCTTAACTATTAAAAAACTTACCAGCTTTGGTTTCTTAACTATTCACTTATAAAGTTATCGATTTTAGTCTTTAAGTATTCAAAAACATATCAAATTTGGTCTTTGTCCATTTCTTTAGTACAAAGAACTTAGGTATATATTAACAGAAATATTCGTGAAATAAAGTTTTTAACCCATTTTTAAAGTTGTTTCTCTATATTCGCCCTTTTTTCTTCAAACTACAGTTATAAAAAAAACAATAACGTCTACGTTTCAAAATAAAATTAATGAGGAAACAAGATATAATTTCTAATTTTATTCAATTGAGGATAAAAATTAAACATATAATTGTTGTTAACGACTTGAAGTTGAATATTTTAATTAGTGTGAATTTTGTTTAATTTACTCAAATTCTTTACATAAAATAAAATGAATAGAATGATAAAATTGATTTATTCAAAAATAATTTTAGAAAATTAAAAATGTACCATTTTATAAATTTCAATTTCTGAAAAAAATTAAACAAATTCCGTTCAACGAAATCGTTGGAGTACAAACTTTAAATTTAATGGGGAATAAATTTTTTTCTTTTTATATTGAAGTTTAGCATATTCAAGTCATTAGTAGCAATATATATGCTTCATTTTACTCTCTGTTGAATAAAATGATGACTTATATTTTCTTTGCTCGTGAATTTTATTTTGACCATCAAGGTAAAGATTCTTGTCATAAGATTAATTTGAAAAAAACGAAGTGGAGAGAGAGAAACAACATTAAAAATTGTTAAAAGATTCTATTCTCAAGAAATATATTTTGTTAGTATAAATCTAAGTTATTTATATAAAAAATGGAAAAACTTCAAACATGATAAGTTTTTGAATACTTAAAGGATTAAAATTGGTAATTTTACAGTTAACGGACTAAAACCGATAAGTATATAGTTAAGGAACCAAAGCTGACAAATTTTTGAATAGTTAAAGGACCATATCCATCAAGTGTATAGTTAAGGAACCATTTTAGGCCTACTCTTATAGTTAATGGACTATTTTTGTCATTTTCTCACCTGAAACATCTCTTTACTTTTTAACAGATTCAGTCGACCATTGAATCTCTAACTTGAGTAGTGATTGCTATCTGCTTTATGATTCTATTGATTTCCCATGTTTACCTCCCTATGTGATAGAGTGGATAATTGATATTTTATAAGTTGTTTAAAAAATAAAATGTAGGTATTTGATTTGCCAATTTCATGCTCACTATACGTTTCACGATTTACTCCAAAGAAAGATTGAGTGCAATTAATAATGGTTTTCAACTTAGTTAAGTTAGATTTTTTTTCTTATAATGATGATTAGGTTATAGTTAGCCCTTAGATTCTCTTTATCGATTCTAGATCAACCTCTTCACTTTTAGAATTCTAACATGGTCGATTCTTGGATCTGTAAATTTCACAATACCAACATCAAGAGGTACACTGCCACTTGAAGGATATAAGAAACTACAAGCTTTAGGAGCAAAATTATAAAAACATTTGACACACTTTTGGTTGTCTTGATCACAAGAATGGTAGTGAGTGCTGAAATTTTTTTATAAAATAAAAAGGTAAAAGTAAAGAGATATGCAACCCTCCCAAATTTGAAGGGGAAGAAGGAAGCAAATTTCCCTTATTGTGTAAAAAAGAGAACAATGGAAGAGAAATGATCGATTTAGGCAACAACACAAGCTGAGATCAATGCTTAGTCTTGTTAACACTTGCACTAATCCTATATTTGCAAGGAGTGAATGTACTTTTGTTGGGAACTTAGTATGTCAGTAGATATGTGGAGAACTTCTAAGCTTAGAGAACCAAACCTTTTATGTTGGAAAAATATGGATCTAATCGGAACAAAATGGACGGATAGTGATAATTCATTCATATGACCAGTGTCACACCCCAACCCTAGGTGAGGCGGACAAGTACCCTATGAATACATGCTTTACAGGTAACCTATGATGAGAAAGTAAAATATTATGAAGATTACCGATGAAAAACTTTATATACAACACATGTTGACTAGTTAAACCAATACACGTGACAAGTGAAATATATGAATACATATGATAGCTTTACAATGTCTACAAAGCTAAAAATACGCATAGTAAAGGATCGGCAAAGCCCTGAATCAACCTGGAGCTCACCAACAACAATTGAGTATCATGTACTTCTATTGGGAAGATCTTCTTTTGAATACTTGTACCTATAGCATCAAATGCAGTGCCCCAATAAGGTACGTCATTACGAAAGAATGTGTTGAATATGTAAGGCATAATACAACCATATATAGATAAGGATTAGAGACCGCCTTTGCTTATACTTGTGGAATTGTGTATGTTACATTCTTTTCTCTACTTTTTTCTATGAGGAATAATTTTTGTAAATCATATGATAGAAATGACCAGCTGATCAGTCGTAGGAGAGGATGACCCATGCTAGGCATTTTAACCCCTAGGATGTTGTACTCATAATTCCTCAAATTGGCATCGGCCCATGCTAGGCTTACGCCCCAGAGCTGCCACCCTTCCATACCAATTGGGATCGGTTCATGCTAGGATTTCGCCCCTGAGCTGCCACCCTCTTATATCAATCGGGATCGGCCCATGCTAGGCTTTCGCCCCTGAGCTGCCACCCTTCTATACCAATTGGGATCGACCCATGCTAGGGTTTGACCTGGGATGCCACCTATAATTATACAAATTTCTTCACTTAAATTTTTTTTATCTTTGAGATTGTTGCTTTGATGTTCATAACTCTTCTGAGACTTTGTACTTTGGATAGTCATAACTCTTTTGAGATTGTTCTTTTGTTGATAAAAACTCATTTGGGATTGATGTTTTGGTGGTCATAATCATTGTTGATAGTTTGAACTATGAACCAGTAGTAGAAGACATACGAATATGGACTAACGATAATGACAATGACGTGGGAAGAAAATGTGACACTAACATAATACTTCTTTGATGACTCAGTATACATTTTTAACATCTAATATTGAAGCTCATACGAAGTGAAGAAATATAACTTTCAGCCAATAGATTTGAACTCTATATGATAGCCAAATTCTCACCAACTAATATCAAAGACAAGGTATACATGAATGCGGAACCAAGGAAGAATGTGGAAAAATTCAACTTAAGGACCGATACATATTTCAAGTAAATACATACATATAAATATACAATAGAGCAAGTAGACATCTTGTGAGGCAACATAATAGTCTAACACAATGGGAGTAATAACCAATAAAGGGAACACATGAACATATGAAAAGATAACATATATGATGGAAAAGACTATTGAAGCAAGTTGGCAAGATATGGACAGATCGTGCCAGGGGTAATTTGACAATGAAACAAGTTTAAACCTTGCATGCCAACACTTGGTAGAGAAAAAAACACACACTTAGTAACAAACTCATAGTAGAGTGCTCACCTTAATTCTCTAGGGAGTACGAACTGCCTTTATGGATCAGTCACTACCAAGAGCACTTAGAAAGCTTACAAGTGTCGAATTCATGCCAAGAAAATAGGAAATCGAATAGCCTTACATACCTTGCTGCATAACAATGGATATCACAATGAGTTAACCATCTTCCTTTCATATTATTTATCTACAATCGAGTAAATAGTAAAAACTATTATTAGTTTCTAAACAAATTTGGACTATTTGATCAGACCAAAATAGTAATTGATAGTATATCTATAAGTCATGTCATCCAGAGTTATTCCATCCATTTTCCCCGAATTATTTTTATAAGGTCCTCCGAATCATGTCAAGAAAACAGTATTAAAGGAATGGAAGGAAGTAAGCTCATGCAACACTCAATTAAGTGGTGTATCACTACACTTTCAATGCTCTATCCTCTAACTAGTTTTCATAACTTCTCTACATATCCAAACACACACTCTTATTTCTATGATACACAAAACAGTCCCTAAGTCTCACAATATGGAAATATCAATATGAACTCATGACTTCCGATCAACATCCTGTGAACTCCAACTAACATTTTAATTCTCAAAACAAGCTCACAATAAAAATTTAAGGGGACTCCACTCCTTGTATGTCCCAACAAGCACCTCCTTCCTGAACATTAACCAATTTCACACCATACAAAGGCGACACTCAACAGTTCAGTAACACATACAAACTTTAAAAAATAATGTAAGAACAAGAGAGGATGAAAATTTCCACAGCTTACCTTGTTAGATAGAAACCTTATTTTTAGGGTTTAGGTTGTCCTTTCTAACTTATCTTGATGTTAAAACAGATTATTCACTTTAATTCCTAAAGATGGGAGATGTTCTACCAGTTTGTACTTTAAAAACACCTATTTCCTTCATATTCTAATGGTGAAGTCGTAGAACAGAACTGTTGGAGCTTACATGGCTTTCCTTTAGAGTGATTTCTGGAGAACAAGTAATATGAAGGAGATATGATAAACTTGATGCTTTAGAGGTAATTTTGGACGTTTTCCCTTTAATTAATTGGGAAATAATATGGTCCTTTACTTTTAAGCAAGAGGGTGCATCACCTTCTTAGTTTCTGCCACATGTTTTTAAGTAGTTGCATCAGCTACTTGCTCTTTTCACTTAAATTCAGTCCACTTATTCTAAGTAGGTGCATCACCTAATTGCTCCTTTATAATTCAGACAAATAATTCTAAGTAGGTGCATCACCTACTTGCTCCTTTTAACTTAAAATTTAGTCCACTAACTCTAAGTAGGTGCATCACCTACTTGTCACCTACTAGCATAGTTTTGTCAAGCAAGTACCTCAATTAATTTACACCATTTTCCCTATCTTAAATTGTTTACAAGACTGTAGCACTAAATACACACTTGACCACTTTGACTTCTATATCGAATACCACCTTTTACTATCCCGAGTTTGAATTGTTTTTTTAGTTCAATTATTCGTATATGTGTTGGAAGGCACGGAGTGTTACAACTTCAAACATATTCTATTGTCACCAGTCGCACAGTAAAACCGAGTCCATAACTATATCACAAGGAAATTTTTAAGCGACATATACATAGAACTAGTTCACATAGAATACGGGGTGTTACAACCAACCCCAACTAGCTTGAGATTGAGGCTTAGTAGTTGGTTCTTGTCTCTTGTTAAGAAAACAATTAGAGGTGAATGTTACAACATCACATAGTGAAAGTAAGATCAGGGACTTCCCATTCACTAATACTATGTTGAACCAAACATAATGCAAGTAATGTGACAAAATGGTTAGACAACAATGATAATTTTTTTATAGAATATTCAGCTTACAAGGCCATAAACTCCAAGTCGGGGCTCTACCACATTATAAAGTTAATTGTTAGTGATTATGTAATGAACTACAGTCTGAGAACTTGAACTAGTGATGGTAAAAGTAGCATGATGAACCAGCAAAGACTATGGCCTTCTCCTCCACATCACCTCACCCCACATAATTTACTAATTTTCTTAATTAAAAGAAATTTATCAGTTACCAATCTTACAGCTGACGTTGAAATAATAATACATCTCCATTTGAAAGCCAATTTGTAGAATATTTATAGAATAAGTTTTAAGTCATCTTCCATCTTTGCCTTTCCTTTTATACATAATATTTATGTATTAATTATACACGAGTCATTAAAGTTTGTTGAACTAGACGGATTGAAATTAATAATTACGCACAAGTGGCTCGTGTTGACTCCTATAAGGAAACCAATAACTTACTTTGAACAACACTTTGGTTCACTTCCTTTGCCCACCCCATTTTGCCCATGATGCATATAATAATTTTTATATATTCAAAGGGCTTTTCCTATTCCAATAACGTATAGAAATTCTTAACACATTTACCCTTTAGTTTAAGCTTCAACAGGAAAAAATCTAACCCACATACCCGTCCCGCCTCCAGTTAGTATTTACTAGTTATTGATTAGTCGACAAATTAATTAGTAGTTAGTTATCATTGTTCATTACTTGTTAGTAGTTAGTTAACATTGTTTTAGAGTTATTTACTGATTCTTTAGTTAGAATAGTTTGTTGAAGCTAATTCTTCTTTGTCTATGTATATCTTAAAGACTCATCAGATGTATTCATTCATTTTCCCAATTATTCAATTTCTCTCAAAGATGTGCTTTCTCTTACAGAAGGTTCATCAATGGTGAACTGAGATTCACAAAGTTTGATTCAAGTTTAACATGGTATCAGATTCGTAAAGGTTCTTCATTTCACAGTCTTCATCTTGAATCTGTTATTGTTGATTTTCCATAGGCATGGCTTCATATCTTGATCTCGATCAGCAAAATGCTCCACCTATTAAAGTTCAGGATCTACCAGTCTTATCTACTAATACATTCTATATGCATCCATCTGAGAATCTTGGATCTTCAATTGTTCTAGTTATTTTTGATGGTTTAGGTTATCGCTCCTAGAGACGAGGAGTTCTCATAGAATTATCAGTAAAGATTAAAACAATATTTATCAGTGGAAAAATTGTGAAGCCAGATCCAAATTCACTTAATTTTTCCCAATGGGAACGATGTGATGATTTGGTTACTTCATGGATTCTCAATTCACTCTCAATGGATCTCGCCAATAGCTTACAATATGTTAACAATGCAAAGGAGTTGTGGGATGAGTTAACTGATAGGTACGATCAAGCAAATAGAGCAAAATTATATCAATTACAACGCGGACAGTTGAATTAACTCAGGAAAACCTTGATGTTACTAGTTACTATACCAAAATGAGAAGGCTATGGGAAGAACTTAATACGTTAGACACTAGTTGCCAGTGTACATGTTTATGTACTTGTGGAGGAAAAACAAAGTTATACAAAGCTGAGCAGGATAGGCAGCTCATTTTCTTATGTGATTGAATGAAGTATACACAGTCATTCGAGGCAGCATCTTAATGATAAATCCCTTGCCTACCATGGCCCAAGCTTTCTCTATTTTAGTACAAGAGGAAAAGCAGAGGGAACTTAAGCATCATGGTAAGTTCAACCTAGAATCCATCTCTTTCCATGTGAATGCTGCCAGTGCCAGTACAAGTTCTAAGACAAATTATGGTCCATCTAAAAATAATTGGGAAAGTAACAGTGGTTGAAGCAATGGAGGAAATTGGGGGAATAACAGTGGAGGGGGTAGACCTTCAAATAAATCTCATTTGTTTTGTAATTGCTGTAAAAGAAATCTGGGAACATAAGAGATAAGTGTTTCAGACTCCATGGTTTCCCTGAGGGCTTTAAGTTCACTGAATGTAAGAATGATGTAAGCAAAAGGTTATGAAAGAAGTAAATATCATGAAAATAAATCTCCAGTTTTAACTAAGCAACACCTTGAGCAGCTGGTGAATCTATTAGAAAACATTCAGGTCCAAGGAGGAAACAACAATGCAAACACATCTAGAAATAATGCAAACAACATTTTTGGTGGAGCTGCGAATTTTGCAGGTATTCTAACCTATTCCTCTTCAATTACTGATGTTGGTACATTTTCATGCAAATGTTCTAATCCCTCTTATGACTCCTACATAATAGACTCTGGTGCCTCAAATCACATGACTTTCAATAAGAACTTGTTAACCAATATCAGACTATTGCCTCACCCTTTCCTAGTAAATCTACCAAATGGTTTTAACTTTGTATAAAGTTCTATATATTCCAAGTTTAAAATTCAACTTGATTTTTGTACATTCTTTAGTCTCTCATATTAAAGGTGTCATTAGTTTCAATCCAACTTCTTGTTTGATGCAAGGCCCTTGAATGAAGAGCCCTCTGGAGATTGGTAAAGCACAAAGTGGACTCTATTTCTTATACTCAAAATGTCATAGTTCTTGTTCTAGTCTTGGTATTCAAGCAAATGGATCACATAATTCTTCACTGTCTGTTATTTCAAAGAACTTAAATACTGCAACATGTAATTCTTTGTGTAATGATTCAAGTTCTACATCATGTAACTCTTTAAACGGCACTCCAGGCTCATCTTGTAGTACTACTGTTTATCCTCCCACATCATACACATGTCATGGTAATAATGTTGATCTTCTATGGCATAATAGGTTGGGCCATGTACCCTTTATGAAAATGAAAGAAATATATTCTATTCCCATATTATTTTCACATAAACAACCTTTTGTATGTTCAATCCGTCCTATGGCTAGACAAACAAGATCTCCTTTCCCAACAAAGACCTCTTCATCTAGTAATAAACCTTTTGACCTCCTTCACCTAGACCTATAGGGACCTTACCATGAAGCTAACCATAATGGTTATAAATATTCCATGCCCATTGCAGATGATTTCAGCAGGTCAACCTGGACTCAACTCCTTACCTGCAAAAGCAATACACTCCAAACAATAAAAACATTTGTTTCTCTTGTGGAAAATCAATTCCAAACCACTGTCAAGACTACTAGAACTGACAATGGATCAGGATCCCTCAATACTGAAACAATTGTTTATGTTTAAGATACAGGCATAATATACCAGAAAACTGGTCCATACACACCACAACAAAATGGTGTAGTGGAAAGAAAATATAAACACATTTTAGAAGTTGCTCGGGCATTGTTGTATCAGTCAAAACTTCCTAACAAATATTGGGGAGAGTGTATCCTCACAGCAACTTACCTTATTAACAGATTTCTCAACTCAACAATCCATAAACCCATTTTGAGATATTATACAATAAACAACCCTTGTATTCTCACCTTAGATATTTTGGATGCCTTTGTTTCCCTTTAATTACAGTCCATAAAGACAAGTTTGACCCAAGATCCACATAACACATCTTTGTGGGATATCCTTTAAACACAAAGGGGTACAAGGTTTTAGACTTGAGCACCAAAAGAATACATATTTCCAGAGATGTGTCATTTTGTGAAAATCTTTTTCCTTGTTCTAATTTAGGGGCAAATTCTAGTTTTGCCACAATATTAAGAAAATTAACCTCAAATTCAAACATGCTGAATTTTGATTACAGTTCTTTTCACAAAGTTAATGTGTTGGATGATGATACCATCAATAATGTCACTAACACTACTATGCCATCACCAAATTCATTTTTTTCATAATGATGTCTCACAACCTGTTTGTGATCCTTTCATACCATCACCAAGTCTACTTCCTCAAAATGAAACAGACTTACCAAACAACAATACAATCAAGATCAACACCAGAGTCTTAGAAGATCTACAAGATCACATACCATTCCTGCCTACCTTAAGAAATACCATTATTCACTACCTACATCTAAAGCTTCCACATCATCATCATTACCACCCTATCATTTTACTCATCACACATTCCTCACTAGTTTTAATCCAGACAGTCAACATCTGATTAATCACATTTCGCATGACACTGAACCTTCTTCATATGAAGAAGAAGTGGTAGATCCTGCTTGGCA